CTAGCAATTATCTCTGCTGTGATTTCTGTATTCGAAATTTGAAAAAGGGTTTCTGCGTAAATGTGATTTACTTCTTCGTTAATGGCATAATCTGACGATTTTCTGGTATCTGTTACTGGAGCTCTTGACAAACAGTCCACATTCTCAATTTCTTTCCCTTTTTTGCATCTAAGGGTATACTCAAAACCTGATAGAAATGAAGCGTATCTTAGTAATCTAGCTGATGTCATTTGAGGTAGTGACTTATTGTGTGCAAAAATTCTGGATATTGGTTCATTGTCGGTTACTAAGAAAAAATGTCTTGCAAACAGGTAATTGTAAAAACGCGAGACAGCAAATATTATCGCTAATGCTTCTCTATCCAATTGGCTATAGTTCATTTCCGATTTCGTCAGTGAGCGTGATATATATGAAATTGGTCGTTCTTGTCCATTTACTGAGTGGCTAAGAACTGCTGCGATTCCTACTGGACTTGCATCTGTTTGGTCAGGATAACTGGTAAGCTTGGATCGTATGGGACAAGCACTTGGTTGCTACACATACTATCTTTTAATTTCAGGAATGCTAATTCGCAATGAGAGGTCCACTCAAACCGCGCGTTCTTTTCTAACAGTTTCCGAAGGGGGTATGATATTGTCGAATAATTTTCTAAGAATCTGGAGTAGTAAGTTAACATCCCTAGGAATCTGCGTAATTCGTCCACATTCTTTGGACGAGGCAGGTCTGTGACAGCTTTTATTTTATCTGGAGATTTCAATATTTTGTTTTCACAAATGATGTGGCCCAAATATTCTATTCGTGTCGAAAAGAAAACACATTTAGTACGGTTGAGATGCAAATCGTACTGAGACAACCGTTTTAGACAAAGATAAAGATTTTGTGTACACTCTTCTTCCGTTAGTCCGTGAATGATTATGTCATCGAAATAGGTGCCACACTTTGGTAAGCCGTTTAGAATTTGAGTCATGATTCTGTTGAATTCGGAAGGTGCGCTTTTAATTCCGAAACTGAGCCGGTGCATTTTGTAGGTTCCTCTGTGGGTCGATATCGTCTGGATGGCACTACTTTCGTCATCTACCGGTAAGTGTAAATAAGCCTTGAATAGGTCCAATTTGCAAAAATACTTGGAATGCCGTAAACTGCTTAGAACTTCTTCAATGCGAGGGACTGGAAAATTTGCCGATACTAATCTTTCATTTACGCCGCATTTATAGTCGACGCATAATCTCACGCCACCATCCGCCTTTGGTATTACCACTGTAATTATTCCGGACTTCTCCAGCATTTCCAATTCTTTATCAACACGGGATTTCAACGCGTACGGGACATTTCGTTCTTTTGTAAAAATTGGTTTGGTGTTCGCTCGTAACTTTAGCGAAATCTTGAAATTTGGTACACAACCTACTTTTTCTTCGAAAATCTCTGAGAATTCGTTAAGAATATCCTCTGCGTGCAATGTAAAAGAATCGGATACTGATGCAGGGTATGTTGAACGCTTTGATACCATGCCTTTATCAATTTCTTTTAGTTCGAGTTCTAAAATTCGTATCCAATCACGACCTATGAGGGAATCATGGCCTGCCGGAACTACATATACTTCTCCGAGAGCTGTTTTGTTGTTGTAGCTTATCGTAACGTTTGCTTTACCTTTACAAGGGACAATGTCATTTGAAAAAGCTCGAAAACTAATATTACAGGCATGTAACTGTGTTTTTAGGTTGAGCTTAGAAAAAGTATCTTCTGGGAGTATTGAATACTTTGCCCCGGAATCCACTTCCATTTCTTGCATTTTACCATTTAATGAGACAGTGATTACGTATTTCCCAGAATGTGGTGAAACTTCATACAAATCGATAGTATTTGGTACAATAGTGTCCAATGCATTTACACCGTAAACATATGAAAATCCTGGGTCATCTGGATTTGAAAAATTATTAACATCTTGGATTTGCTTCGTACTGGCGGATTTGTTTGCTATTAGGGTTGTTATGCATACCTTTGTAACATGACCAATTTTGCCACAAGAGTTACATTTTAAATTGGTTCTATCAATGCGACATTTGGATGACTTATGGTTATCCCTACCACATCTAAAACAGAGGTTTTCAATTCCGAGAAGTTTGTAATCAATTTTTGAATTACGGCCCTGTGACGATGAACGATTTCGTGGCTGAGAATATCGTAGATTTGATTTTCCCCGATAGTGAGACTGTTTGTTGTATTGTGTACGATTTCTGTTCCGAGATGAATGGTGTGATTGAGACAGTTTGTTAATACCTTCTTGCGAACTTGATTCCGGAGGATTTATTTGTTTCATTAATTCCTTACTTTGGATACGAGACGCTTCTAATGCTATTGATTTAGTTAAAATTTCATCGAACTTCGTGACATTTGATTGGAGTAATTGTTCCCGGATCCAATTATCTCGAATGCCTCTTATGAATTGTGCACGTAGAAATACTTCGGCAATAGAAACTTTTTGCGAGCAAGGGCATTCAGTGTAAAAATTACAGTCGATGAGGTTCCGCTGTAGTGTAGAAACATATTCTGCAATCGATTGCTGGTAACATGATAGAAAATAATGTTGGGAAACAACTACATTCTTTGCTGGTGCTAACATTTGCGAAAAACTTTTCACAAGGTCATCATATTTTAAATCCTTCATGAATTTATCAGGCCCCATAAATGCTGACATATTGTTGTAGTGAATGGGTCCTATAGAAGCGCCAAGCAGTTGCGCTTTCTTATCTGGATTGGTGACATTTTTAACAGCGAGGTAATTTTCGAAGCGTTCTATGTAGCAGGGAAAAGTTTCTTTGATTGCATCATAATTTTCAAAAGGCGTTACGTTGAAAGATTCTGATGTGGAATTAGAAGGAGTTTGGCGGGAAACAATTTAATCGATTAGGATTTGTTGGTTTTCGTTCATGGTTTTTGTAAGGGTGTTGAGTAATTGTTGGAATTGAATGGCGTCCATTTTGTTGTTGAAAGGTTCTTTACATAATAAAAAAACTTTTACCTTTTTGGTTAGAATTTCCGCGTTCCGGAGTGACAATGTGTAATTAATTGAAATGAGACACGTTTTCACTGCGTACGAAAAAGAAAAAACCATTCTCGTCGCCACTTTAATGTCTTTATTCTAAATTGTGGGACCACCCTATTCTACACAAAATAATGGAGAAAAAAACATAACAGAGTAACCTACATGAATATATCTATATCTAAGCTTTACAGCGTTGCCATTGTTACTTAATATTCCTTAGATACAACAAT